ACTACAAGAAAAGTTCATGGAATAGAGGATGACCTAAGTAAAATTTCATTATGTGCTAGAGAATGCCCTTGCCAATCTTGTGATAATTCAAAATATGGTAATTATTTATTGAAATATCTAAACATGGATTAATAAAATATTAGAAAGCTTATGGTTAAGGCAGTAATGGATATACTTTTTAACAGCTCATTAATTCAGTATGTTCATTAAAATAAAAAGTCAAGCACTCCAGTAAATGACTACCCCCCAAGTGGCAGCACAATTTGGATATTAGAGGATATGTTTACAAAAGGAGGACTTGAAGTTGGGAGAAAGGAGGGAAGTTGTATTTGGGAGGAGTTAAGGGATTAATGAGGGTAAAGCTAATTAAAATACATTATATGTAATCCTTAAATAGTTAATAAAAATAAAATTTTAAAATAAGAATAGGTCAATAGCAAGTAAGATGTACTGCCCTTAGTCTTTCCTCCATCCATGCCTGAATTATGTGCTCATTCATGTTCAGAACCTTGTTGCCATTGATAGACTCAGAGAAGGGAAGTCATTGTCTTCATCTGTGTTACCCCTGATGACCCCACTATACTTCCATGGAGAGTTGCAATCCATTGGTCATACAGATGGCCTTGGTAAAGAAAATGGGTCACAAAACAAAATCAAAAGTCATGAGACTAGTTGGGGGTGGTGATATTCATCTTTAATCCCAGCACTCAGGATGCTGGAGCAGGCAGACATCTGTGACTTTGAGGCCAGCTGGGTCTCCCTAGTGAGTTTCAGGCCAGCCAGTGCTACACAGTGGGACTTTGTCTCAAAAAATATCAGTGTTGAGGCACCTCGGTATTGATATTTCAATGGGGTGTCACAAGTGATGCTGGTTCAGCTCGGGCTGGGTGAAGCTTCTGCTCCCAGGAGCAGTCCTGTGAAGGTAGAGAGTCTTACAGCTAAAGCTTCCTAATCTGGAAGAGGAGCAGAGGAGTCTTCTACAGGCAACTGAAATTGGTAGAGTTGGTAACAAGTGCCTGGGTTCTTACCTAAAGAGGAGTAGCATGTGGGCGGGTGGCCATAAGATATGTGAAAATTGTGTGTATGTTTGTGTGTGTGTGTGTGTGTGTGTGTGTGTGTGTGTGTGTGCGCACGCGCGCCTGCGCACAGCACATTTGTCCACAAAGTTATGTGCTTAACTAGGGCTAGGTGAAGCTTCTAAGTCCAGGTGAAGATATTCTGTAAATTTAGAAGACTCTCAAAACCAATCCTCAGGAGTCTGAGAGAGGTGCAGCAGACTCATCCTCAGGCCAGAAGAGAGGGTGGAGTTGGTGACAGGGGTGTGAGTTCTTAACTAGATTGGAAGAGAAGCTTCGTAGGTAGGCTAAAGACATGAATTCCTGATATATTTGCTTATACGCAGGTGTGTGGGTACACTCGAAGGCCAGAAGATGCCATTGGATCCCATGGAGCTAGATTTATAGGCAGGCATTAGCCACATGGCATGGATACTGGGAAGCACCTCTCACTCTTATATGGAGAAATCATCAAGGAAAATGAAGTGTGCCTGAAACATGCACAGAGAATTGCAACAGTGGATGTGATGACCAAAGGATCACTAAGTGACTAAGAGAAAAGTAGTGTCTATTTTGTGTGTACAACCTATAAAGTACATGATGCAAATTCTTGTCAGGGTGAGCTTGTGTTGTGCAGCATTTCCTTTCTTAAAATATGTACAGTCTAAGACTTTTATGTGAACACAGAATACGAGAATTCTTTTGTTCAAACCAATACACTAGATTTCAAAAGAAACAGTGAGGAAGTGTTCGTCCACAACAGTGCTCATCCGTGTTTATGTTTCCTCAAGGCAAGTCCACACTCTTTAGCAAAGCTCCTTTAAACAGTAAACAATTTTGAGAAAGTCTTTCTCCCAAAGCAAATATAACACACTAAATATTTCTTCTTGAAATTTGTGTTTAGTAATGTTGTGTCACATTTGACTAAGTAACTAGAACTGAAGAAATTGCAGCTGTCTGTGGAGCCCTGACACCTCTCAGCTCACCTGCTCACTCAGAATCCTGTTCTCAGCATCACGGAGTAACCCAGCTTCACAAAGAATAATGTTTGGCATAGATGTTACAGGACGACTGAGTGCTCAGAATAGCAACACATTAGGTTTTAGGCGCATGAATACAGATGTGTTTTATTGGAGATATATGACAGACACTGAAGCAAAGAAGGAAACATGTGCCTGCAGGGTCACACTGGGAACCATTTCTTCACTTCCTCAGTGGTAAAGATGGTAAGCTCGATGTGGAACATAGCACGAGGAGGACATTTCACCTGCAACTTAGTCTTCCTTCCACCTCTTCTTTGGCTCTTAATGGTGACACCAAAGCCTTGAATTACAAGGTTATAAAAATAATACTGTACTTGCTGTATCCTCTTTCTATTTGTAGATAATTTTTGATAATATTTTTGCATTTTTCTTTCTCCAAAAATTAAAAATTAATGTTTCTTTAGTCAGACATGGTGCCACATGCCTTTGATCTCAGCACTCTGGAGGCAGAGGCAGGGGGGTTCTCTGTGAGATTAAGGCCAGACTAATCTAGATAGATATTTCCAGGCCACCTGCAGGTACATGGAGGCTTTGTCTCAAAGAAAAAAGTTTATTTAAACACTTGGTGCCACAGAGTCTCTTGTCTGGCCACATAATGAAATATGGAAATGATGAGCCCAGGGCCATGAACAGCTCAGCACAGCCCATGCTGCTGACACAGATGACCTCAGGAACTGAAGATTCTGAAGATTCCAGCCCTAGTTTCTACACTCACAGACCCATCTACAAAATTGAATGCATTAGCCTTTCACTTTAGAAATGAATGCTGTTTGTTAGGTACTCCTTTCCTACAGTGCTCTTCTCTAAGCTCTGTTTCTAGGGGAGCATGAAGTGTTGCTGCTCAGGTCATGTGCCTGCATTCTAGATGCAGGGAAACAGGAGAGGGAGTTTCTCTTTCATCATTTAGAAGGAAGAGTAACATCACTACCTGACAGTTAAGGTGTTGAAAGGTCTGGGGTTGCTCATCACAGACTTTCCATGGACAGAACATGAGTTGTTGTTAAATGAACTCCACAAATGTAAATTGCATAGCTTTTCTACTGGCAAATGTGTTCATTTCACAAAAGAATGACCAATTCTTTTATTTGGAGCATACAACAAAGGATTTTTAACTTATAGGGGAAAAGAAAACTAGTTTTATAGGGGATAATATTTAAAATTTTAACATACATTTTCAATTATCTGAAGGCTAATAATTACATTAAATTAGCACAATGAATGAAGTTCAATATATATGTAATTATAAAGGTAGCAGACTAAATAAAATACTTTATGAGACAGAGACTGACTTGATCCAAGTCCTGCAGTAATTATGATCCAATATGTTTTAACAAACATATGGAATTGAATACAATAAAAATGAAAATACAAAGACAGACAAAAGAATTGATTTCCTCACATTGGAATTTAGGAAATGAACACAATAACAAGCAACAAAGGAAGCATTTTTAAAATTGTTTCAATGTATTTTATTGATACCTCAAAATGAATCAAATATAATTCACATGTTTTGTAAGCAGATTGTAGAGTCTACTATCTGAAGAAGTGAATGATCTTATGATTATCATTTATGATTATAATCTGGAGAACTTACCTGATCTGTTGTAGCTAATTTGAAAATCTCCATTTTAATATGCTGTATACAAAATTTTCATAGAATTCATGGCCTGAACACTTGAAATAGTGAGGAACTGAACAAATTTTTTTTGGTTCCATAAATCAAGGAATTATCATGCCTATGAAATTTCTTATAAAACATCAAAGAAAACTGCATACAATGAAAAGAAATTTTGCAATTGATAAGTATTATCAGTGTTTGGAATGTTGAGCTGTCACACACTTGAAAACACTTAGGAAATGAAATTATTGCTACTTTAACTAATTTTCAACATCCCCAATACTGCTTACCATTGTGTGACAGGCACCTGCTATGAGTTCAACCTTATGAATCATTCCTCATGCAATAATAACATAAGAGTTTTAGAACAGAGATGTTGTGGCCTCACATTATTAATTGTCCCATAGAATGATGTAGTGTTTTTGGAAAGGCGTATGGTCACATAATTTAAGGGAGATGAACATATTGTACACTTTGATTCAATCGACATTTTCTTTAGAATAATAGAGGCAGAACTTCAACCCTTTTTTTACATAGAGTCCCCCTGTACTCTAAGTGACTTGAAACTCTCTATGTAGAAGAGGTTCGCGTGCTCTCACAGAGATCTGCCTGCTCTGTGTTTAGAGTGCTGGGATTAATGTCATGTGTCACCACACCCTGAAAAATTTCAATTTTTAGCATTACTTGAAAGAATAAAATGTTAAAAATACTTAATATATGTTAATGAGTGAATGGTTAGATGAATTTCAGGTTGTATTATAAACTGTGACTAAGAAAATTATAATAATAAAAAGTGAAAGTGGTGATGTCATAAGATTCCATTTTAATATGTGGATGTTACATTTAAAAAGTTGAATTTAAAACAAAAAATTGAAAATGAATGGTAGATGTGAAAAATTATGATTTATTGAGTAGAAATTTGTGTAGAAGTATCACTTTGGTTATTTTTATTGTCTGCCATGAAATCATGTGCTTGGTTGTCAGTGTGTCCTGTGTGAGTACATTGGGAGGTCAGAAGTACTAGGTCAATGTTACAAGGTTGTGACTATTTCTTTTCTTATTATTTGAAGAAGCAAAAATCATTTCAATAATAAAATGCTAAGAAATCAGAAGTCCTTCCATGAGGATTATTATTATATAACATGTTTCATTTACAGGTAAAGTGTATCTCTCTTAACTGACATCACTAATGAAAAGAATCCGAATGACTAAAAACATTTCTGTGTTTAACTTGACAGCTATTAAAAACAGGACAAAATGTTTTTGAATGAATGAATGTGCTACCTAAAATCAACTTCACAGCCCCCTTCATGGTCTCATTCCTCAGACTGTAGATAACAGGGTTGAGTGTCGGGGGTAGTACTGTGTAAAAGATGGAGATGATGAGGTCTAGAGTAGTTGGAGAGTCTGAGGTTGGCTTGAGATATGCACAGGCACCTGTGGATGTGAAAAATGAGACCACACAGAGGTGGGGCAGGCAGGTAGAGAAGACCTTAGACCTACCTTCAGCAGAGGGCACCCTGAGGACTGTGGAGAATATCTGGACATAGGAGAGGGCTATGGCGATGAAGCAGGCAAACCCCAATGAAGACATAAGAGCAACCACACCAATCACTCCAAGGTAATCACTGGAACAGGAGAGTTTGAGCAATTGTGGAACATCACAGAAGAATTGTTGGATGATTTTGTCCCTACAGAATCTCATAGAGAATGTTGTTGCTGTGTACAAAGTTCCTGAGATACCTCCACTTATCCACAGAGCTGTCACAGCCCACCTGCTTGTTCTCATTATGATTTCATAGTGCAGTGGGAGGCAGATGGCCACATAGTGGTCATAGGACATCACTGTGAGAATGGCCAACTCAGCAGAATCCAAAGATGTGAAGAAGAAAACCTGTAGCACACACTGAGCATAGGAAATGCAGCCACTGCCTGTCAGGGAATTGTGGATAGACTGGGGGACAGTGACAGAAAGTAAGGAGATGTCAAGAAGGGCAAGGTGCCTCAGGAAGTAATACATTGGCGATTGGAACTGCAGTTTCATCATTGTGATGGTGATGATGATGAAGTTACCTGCCAAGCCCAGCAGATACATCACCAAGAAGAGAAAACCGTGTAGGATCTGCAGCTCCTGGTTGTCAGAGAATCCCAGGAGGAGGAAGCCACGCACTGTGGTTATGTTTATCAGAATCATTTTGTGAATAGAAATTGTGGAAGGAGCTGGAAAATGAAAAGACCTGGTAAATGCAGTGGAATACATTTATTCAGGACTTAATGTTTCAATGCCTTTTTTTTGCTTTTTTTGATTTTTTGTGAATTTCACACAATATTTTATTGTATTTAGATCTTCTCCCCTCTTTCCCATCCCATTATTATTCCCCAATCAATTTCACTCTCACATATATATGTATATGAGAGAGAGAGAGTGAGAGAGAATCCTAAAGAGTCAAATTTGTATCCTCCAAAGTCACACCCTTAAAAGGACTGACTTGACTCTCCCCTTCCCAGCAACCATTGGTACTCCTCAGGTAGTGTTTCTTACCCATTTCCTTATGTCTATGCAGGGATTTTGTCTGGCATGTGATTACATGGGACTTGCAAATATTGTCACCATTTCTATGAGTTCATGTAAGCAACTAATAGCTGTCTGGAAAACTGTTTCCTAGTGGTCATCCACCACCTCTGGCTCCTACAATCTTTCTTCCCCCTCTACCACAATGATCCCTGAGCTTTGGGTGCAGAAGTTTGATGTAGGTGTCCTATTCATAGTTAAGCACTCTACAGTCTCTTATTCTTGTCACATAGGACAGTTGTGGGTTTCTATGTTAATCCCCATCTGCTTCATAAGGAAGTTTCTCTGGTGAAAGCTGAGAGATGCACTAATCTATGAGAATAAAGTCATTGTTTTGTTTTAAATTATCAATAGAAATATAGTGTCTAGTTGGGAATGACAGGTTTTAGAACAGTGGATTGGCCATGTATAGCTAGGATGTATAGCTAGGAAATGGAACAATTTTAGCAGAATGAAAACATGTTTTGAAGAAATATGAACCTGGAATTAATATATGGTTTGACTCTGGACTGGAAATTGCTATTGTCTCTTATCAAACAATATTGTCAGTCATTCTAAGGAGAGACTCTGTCATTGTGATACTAAATATCAAAATATGTAGCTTTACTGCTTTTCACGCTATTTTGTGTGTATTGTTGTGATCTAGAGTAAGAAACACTTATGCAAGAGCAATACTCACATGCTACTCTTAAGTGTCTTATTTGATTTCATGCAGTGTTTTCAGGATGAAGCAACTTCTATCTGAATCTTCTTCTTACTTAACTGTTGCTCATAACACTGGCCTTCAGCTGCAGCCTCAAATAGTTGCTAGCATATACTACAAGCAAAGACAGTTGCAAAGGTAGACAGCGATTTCTTGCATTTTAAAAGTGAAGGACATTAGTAAACATACAGAGTAGAACTGCTGTAATGGGTTAGAAATTTAAAGCGATCATATTTCAGTTCATTGTCTTCATTTTGATCCTTAGTTGGTTTTAAATAACCTGCCATTCTCCCACCACTGAAACACATGCTCATTTTTAATGACTTCACAAGAGGTTAATGAGTCTCCTGTACCTGCAATTTTTTTTCTTTTCTTTCCGTCACTGTGTTTTAGGCATGAACTGTAAAAATGCTTTGCCAGTGTTGGAAGGCTCTAAGTCATCTTAAATATCATTAGATCTTTTCCTGTGTTTAGTTCCAAACTCATCTATTTACAAAAGAAACCTCAGAGACTGGACTGTGTGGTCAGTGCTAAAAGACCTCACATCAGTGTCAGGTATTTTCCATCTGATTCCCGTCTCTCCTGTGGAAACCTACAGGACATTCTGGGCTGTCTTGCATCTCTAGGAAATAATGAACTTGATACCAGCCATTCCATATTTATATCTTGACACTGACAGGTTTTTGGGTCTTGATTACAAAAGAAAATGACTTTTAGGGCCTAGCATGTTGGGAGAAAACTGTAATTCTCAATCCTGTGGCAGGAAACTCCTGATTTTAAACCAGAATGGATTTTTATGGCAAAATCCTCTGTCTAACAGAAATAAAAACTCCATTACACAAACTGGATATTTTGAACTTTTATTGTAGGTGGCATGGATGTAAGACTCTTGCTTCCTGCTCTGTGTACTGCATTCCCCACTTCAGTCCTTCTACAATATCCTCATGTTTGTTGACTCCTTCAAAACCTCATGTGCCACAGTAGAAAGCAGGGGAAACAGAGAGCTCTTGTTTCCAAGAGTTCCCCTCTTTCCAAATTCTGCTTTGTAAATCTGTTTGAATTTGAAATTGGTATAATGATAAAGAGAATGATTGTTCATTAAATTTTTTAAAGAATGATTTGATATCAAGTTTTGAATCTTCTAACTCAAAAAGGGAGTTACTCAGAAGACAAAAGCAAGAAAGCTGAATGACAAGATGCTATGCTTGAGCCCAACCTATAACAGGTCTCACTGAGTCACACAGAAGTTCCATCTTCTTGGAATTAAGAATTTTAATGTCCACATTCATAGGAAAAATTTAGGACTTAAACATGCTTAAGCCATAGAATTGAGTCTGAGTTAAAAAAATATGAATTTTTGTAAAAAAAATTTAAAAAATTACACAAAAATGTCAGCCTCAGTCAACTTCTCCTGCTGACATCTGAGAGCTTTTGGAGAAGTGCTTGAATGTTTATGGAAGCATCACATGTAAAAGCATGTAAAGTGCTTACTTTTTTCGATTTGCTATCTTTCTCAAATGGCTGCTCAATATATTAATATGAATTAAATTTATCAGATTTTAAAAACTGGTCATTTTTAGGAAGTATTATAATCATTTTTGTTACTTATACAAACTAACTAAGATTATAAGATTGTGTTAGAATTTCCATAAGTACATATTTTCCTTTTGTAATCTGAGGATGGAACACTCACCGCAGGAGTCTTGTGTGGGCAGTTCTCCTGGCTGATCAGCAGCTTCAACATTTCTCACTCACAATCATAGATTTTGAAAACATATTAGTTCCCTTGGGAACAAGTGTTTGAGCTGATTTCATTGGGGGTATCTTTGGAAGTAAAGACTGAACTCAGACACAATTACTTCATTTCCTTTGACTCCATATCACCTGGGATGTGGAGCTATTTAAATTTCCACACAGCCTTCAGGGAGTTGGAGACCTTGGGGTTTCCTGGTCCTGAGCTCACTGGTTCTTATTCTTAGCAGACCAGAGAATCACCTGGAGAGTGATTGAAACTCAGGGAAATGAGCCAATACTTGAGATTCTGGCTCATGAGGTCTCAGGCGACAACTGGGGATCTGGGTGCCTGCCAAACTCTCAGGGCCTTCTGCTGGCATGAGCACTGCAGGTGAGGAGCCACCGAGTAACTCAACTCAGACTTTCTGAGAGCTAAGAGAAAAAATATAAATATTTATGTATACACTTGAATCTCTAAGCAGCCTTTTGAAAATTTAGAAATCATCGTTTACCTTACCTTTTCTACTTGAAATGAGACAAACATGGAATCTCATATTTTCAACAGCTAATTGTTCATTCATTATGACAACTCAGGATGACAAAAGGTGCTGACAGGGAATGATGATTCCTACCAGAGCAGCCAGCTGGTAGGAAGGAGGGGCCAGGCTGAAGCCCACATCTCCCTCATCAGAGAACTGTGGGGTAGTCGGTCTGGAAGGGGCTTGATACAGACACATGCTGGATATGTGTCACATGCTACATAGGCAGAGACCAGCAGCTTTGGCTAGAAAGGACAATAAAGGCGACATAAGGGCAGCATAAGTGCTGGGATTACAGGCATTTACTACCATGTACTACCGCACCCAGTTGGGTCTCTCCTTCCATCATTTTGGTCCCAGGGATTGAACTCAGGTCATCAGGCTTAGTGACAATCACCTTTATTCACTGAGCCATCTCACCAGCTTTCAGTTATTTAATTTTTTATTATTTATTTATTTATATTAATCTTTGAAAATTTCCTTCTATGTGTATTGACCATATGCATCCCTCCCACAACTCTCCTAAGACCCACCTCATTCCCTATCCACCTAATTTTTGTCCTCATTTTTGTAAACCCCTTCAGCCAATTCCTGATGCTCAGACACTCTTGGGTGTGGGGCCACTCACTGGAGTAGAATTGACCTAAGAGGGTCCATATCCTTAATAAAGCCAACTGTCTCTAGAATTGTGTACAGGCTCGCTTTTGCTCTTAACAACCTATATCTCTGGACTAACCTCTTAGTCCAGAGCTGCCCACTGCATCCTGTTCCCCTGTATACAAATCAGCTTAATCCTTCAGTAGAATTTCCTAGTGTCTTCACAGGCTGTCCCACCCCAGGTTGCCTTTGCACACCAGAGATTAGCCTTCTATCCTGGCTGTCCCCAACCCCAACTTGCCTTGACTCCCCCACAACTTGAGCAAATACAAACTCTCTAACCCCACATCTTGTTCTTCTAGCCTTAGGCACAGGCACATTTTTGCTGTTAGCACCCCAGATCTGTGGACTACCCTCTTAGTTCAGAATCACCTACTGTATCCTGATCCTCTGGACCCAGACCATCTCAATTTTTCAGTCTAAAATCTTAGAGCCTTCACAGGTGGTCCCCATCTTGCCTTTGCAAAACTGAGACCAGCCTTCAATCCTGGCTGTCCCACCCCAACTTGCCTAGGATTCTGGAGACCAACATCTTCCCTGCTAATCTGATCCCACCCACAGAGCCTCGACTCCCCCACAACCTGAGAAAATTCAATCTTTCCAAACCCACATTCTGCTATCCTTCTAGCCTTGGGAACAGGCCTGCTTCTGTTCTTAGCACACCAGATCTCTGGGCTACTCTCTTACCCAGACTAGCCCACTGTGCCCACAGCAGATCCCCTGCACCCAGACCAGCTCAATTCTTCAGTCTAGTCTCTTAAAGCATTTTCAGGCTTTCCCCACCCCAACTTGCCTTTGCACACCTGAGACTCACCTTCTGTCTTGACTGTCCCCACCTCCAACTTGCCTGGGATACTTGAGACCAGCCTTATTCCCTGGTAAATCTGATCCAGCCCACTGCACCATGACTGCTACACAAACTGAGCAAATACAATCTCCCCAACACAACTTTTGTTCTCCTAGCCATGAGCACAGGCCTGCTTTTGCTC